AAATCATAGTTGGTGTGGTCAATGGTATAACGAAATCTACAAAGGTAAGTTAGGGGGTCTATAGTATGAAAATTAAATCATAGTGGGTGCGCTCAATGGTATAACAAAATCTACAAAAGTAAGTTAAGGGGTCTATAGTATGAAAATCAAATTATAGTGGGTGTGCTCAATGGTATAACAAAATCTACAAAGGTAAGTTAGAGGGTCTATAGTATGAAAATCAAATCATAGTGGGTGTGGTCAATGGTATAACGAAATCTACAAAGGTAAGTTAGGGGGTCTATAGTATGAAAATCAAATCATAGTGGGTGTGGTCAATGGTATAACGAAATCTACAAAGGTAAGTTAGGGGGTCTATAGTATGAAAATCAAATCATAGTGGGGGTGATCAATGGTATAACGAAATCTACAAAGGTAAGTTAGGGGGTCTATAGTATGAAAATCAAATCATAGTGGGTGTGGTCAATGGTATAATAATCAACAAAGCTAAGTTAGGGGGTCTATAGTATGAAAATCAAATCATAGTGGGTGTGGTCAATTGTATAACGAAATCTACAAAGGTAAATTAGAGGGCCTATAGTATGAAAATCAAATCATAGTGGGTGTGATCAATGGTATAACAAAATCTACAAAGGTAAGTTAGGGGGTCTATAGTATGAAAATCAAATCATAGTGGGTGTGGTCAATGGTATAACGAAATCTACAATGGTAAGTTAGGGGGTCTATAGTATGAAAATCAAATCATAGGTGTGATCAATGGTATAACGAAATCTACAAAGGTAAGTTAGGGGGTCTATAGCATGAAAATCAAATCATAGTGGGTGTGATCAATGGTATACTGAAATCTACAAAGGTAACTTAGGGGGTCTATAGTATGAAAATCAAATCATAGTGGGTGTGCTCAATGGTATAATGAAATCTACAATGGTAAGTTAGGGGGTCTATAGTATGAAAATCAAATCATAGTGGGTGTGGTCAATGGTATAACGAAATCTACAAAGGTAAGTTAGGGGGTCTATAGTATGAAAATCAAATCATAGGTGTGATCAATGGTATAACGAAATCTACAAAGGTAAGTTAGGGGGTCTATAGTATGAAAATCAAATCATAGTGGGTGTGGTCAATGGTATAACGAAATAAACAAAGGTAAGTTAGGGGGTCTGTGTTATACAAAAATCAAATCATTATTGGTGCTAATGTTACACCTGAAAGGTATATCGAAAAATGTTGGACAAATAAATTCTCAAATTAACAAGTTCAAAGATGGAGATATTGGGTGTGCAGCTGCACATGGTCACTTGTGAAGATATCATTATTGATCACAAGACAAACATACCATTTATCTTGGCTTGTTTTTTCTAATGGTCTAGTGTATTCATAGAAATTGTATTACATCCCTCTTTGTATTGCACAGGAACCTCTTTTATTTCTAATGAACAGCCCCCTTTGATCTAACGACATGCACTGACCTGAAACAAATGATGGGGGGGGGGGGGGCTTGACATACATACTAATGTAATACTATTTTGTATGAATACAATTGATTGATCCACACATGAGATAAGATGGGAAGGCCTTTTTCAAAACAAGTCTCTCTGTCCTTTTACCACCATGTAAATGCTCTTGTCTCTTATTTCTTACAGAGACATGGTGATGACTTTGAGAGTGTGGTGTGTTATTTAGTCAACACGTGTAGACTGTTGCATCTTTTGAAACAGTACAGCGGTGAGAAGGTAAGCATCATAAACATGTCATAAAAATTAGGCATCCAACATGTATCATACTTACCTTATATGGGATGGAGATGTTGATATGCAAATTACTATTCATGCTGTGTCCATATATGGTCACCTTATATGGGATGGAGATGTTGATATGCAAATTACTATTCATGGTGTACATATATGACCACCTTATATGGGATGGAGATGTTGATATGCAAATTACAATCCATGAATAGATTAACAATAAATATCTCTGTAATATTTTTCTCTGCTGATTTTATTAAGTTAATTGATAGAAACTATATTTGAATGAAGATAGTGTTACTATTCACCAACTGTCTTCAATTGCATTCAATAATCCAATTTAAAATACAGTATTTGAGACAAACTCTCTCCAAATCTCCGCCATATTCCATTTGTCTATATTTGAAATGTGACTGTTAATATGCAAATTAGCATCCATATATGGAACAGTATCTGCCTACACTCATTAATATTAACGATATTTCTTTTTAGAATTTCACAACTCAGAATACAAAAAAACAAAACGAGCACTGCCTACGAAATTTTGATATATCTGAGTACCGACAAGTTGTCAACGATCTGGCTGTACATACCTACCAAGGACTCGTTCGATGTGTGGAAAAGAAACTACAAACAATGATTGGTGAGTGTCTTGTCAGAATACTTGTATATGCAGGCTTCATGCATCTTGTTTTTCACTAATAGATGAGTTTACAATTACCGGTATATCGCTATCAGTTGGTTTCTGTGTGAGAATGTAAGGGTTGATTTCTAGCTCGCGTAATTTATTCACAAGTTTCCTGGCGTCGTATTAGAAGTTAACCAACGTTTACTCAGCGAAATCAAACCCCTTATGTTTTTACACAAGGGTGCTAAAGTTTCTAGGATAATGGCGGAGCTTGAAAACTTCTCTATTGTCTGTAGAAAATCAGAGAATTGTCATCAACATTATAAAACATTCTCAGAATGTATATCAAGGTTTTGTTTCTCATTATAAAGTGCGTCAGTTTAAAACTAGTGCCACGCACACAAAAAAGTTCTCAATTTTGTATACCAGTTAAGTACATCATATACGGTAATAATGAGAAATGTTTCTCCTTTCACAAATTGTTTTGTCAATCCAAATATTTTCTTTTTAATGCATGCATTGTACTTATTTTTGTTTTTGTTTTTATAACTGCATTACCGAATTCATTTTTCCTGGTACGAGAAGAAAAAAAAAATTGTTTGGTCTAAAAATCAGGAAAATATATTGTAGCTCATTTT